GCGGCACGGCTGCCCTCCTTGAAGGCTGCATCAAGAAAGGCCGCACAGCCGCATGCGGACAAATGAGGCTGCATTTGTTGCATTGCGTGCACTTGTCCATGTCCACGACAGGCACCTCAGCTTCGCAACTTGGTTCACACTGCATGCAGCCAGGTGGGAGGCACTAATCACAGTCACGATGCCGAAAAGCGGTCATTTAAGACAGGCCACGTTGATCGCAATTCCGCGCTTCTCGTACTGGCTGGTGCCACATGGCACGCGGCCACCCGGCACGAAGGCGCTCACAGGCAGCGAATTGCCGTCCAGGCTGTTGCAAGGGGTCTGCACCTGCTTGGCAAATTGGTCCGCATCCTGCACCTCCGGGAACATTCGGGGGCCCTTGGCGTAGACAACTTGCCGAGCGGCGGCAGAGGCAGCCTCGAGTGAACATCCGCACAGCACGTCGTGACTGTCGTGAAAGCATAGACGGAAACGTGAGCCCAGGTGCCTCCTCGTCGGTTGACAGGTTGCCCCAGGAGGCGGGGATCTTGACGGCGATGATGCCATCAATGGCGGCATCCACACCGGCGATGTTCATGTTCACCACTTTGTCACCCTGCCATGGCAGCAAGATATGCCATATATAACCAGAAATGACAGAAGCAACTGTGCCAGCCCCAGCCTTTTTGCCGTACATCTTCTTGATGCTCTTCTTCAGCATCTCCACGGCCTATCCATGGAATCCAAGTGGCAACACAAGGCCGCAGGACAAAAGAAGCAGTTGTCGCGGCCTCCTCGTAGGGCATCACCGCACTGAGCTTGAAGAAGACGGTCTGGCATGCGCAGGGAGGGATGCGACATGCAACCCAATGCTGGTTCAGCTGCCTGCACCGAGCCTGCATGATCATGTTGATGCGCTTTCCAAGGCCAGCCTACCATGAGGACCGGTGCCAGCACCGATGCATGAGGAAACAGCCTGCAAACGGCTTGCGGTTGTGCTCCCACCCACTGCCTTCACTGCAATCTTCGTGGCATCGATGATGAAGAGCTTGGCCTGGCATCATCGGCGTAACCATGCCGCATGGAAAGTTAGGATGCAAAGGCCGACCTGCCTGCTTGGCTGCGAGATCCTTGCGCATCTTAGCCGGTAGCTGTGCCTCCAGCTCGCTCTCGTCCCAGGAGCAGTTGATGACGCAAACGGCATTCGGCTTCAGGTATCTGGTCATATCCTCAACAGAAGAAGAGCTCCTGCCCACTCTCCAACTGAGGCACAGGCTGTGAGTGAAATGCAAAGGGCTGTGCCACCCAAGCCGCATACTGCTGCACGTAGCTCTGCTTGTGGATGGCCATGTAGTCAGCTGCACGGACATTGTACGGGGCGTGGATAGGCTTGGGACCAAAGCGCAAGTGGCTGATGGTCACCCCTCCACTCTTTTTGGCGTCATACTCAAAGTACGCCTGAAGTCAGGACACCACTTCCGAACACTCCTGTCCCCCCTTCGCCCCCGCCCGGCCTGCGCGTGGAGCTCTGTGCCCAATGCGATCATCTTGACTGCAGACTTGTTTGCGCCCACGGTGCCATCGCTACCCAGCCCATAGAACATGCACTCTGTGGTGCCCTCCGGCAGCACGTTGAGCCAGGGCCCCACCGGCAGTGACAGGTGAGTCACATCATCATTGATGCCCACGGTGAATCGTGGCTTCGGGGTGTCCTGAGCCAAATTCTCAAAGATGGAGAGCACGCAGTTGGGCGTGAACTCCTTTGAGCCAAGGCCATAGCGGCCGCCAACCACCACGATCTCAGGATGTGCCGAGGAATGAAGAGTTGTGCGCACCTCCAGGAGCAGGGGCTCACCTTGGGAGCCCGGTTCCTTGGTCCTGTCCAGCACGCAGATGCGTTC